TGCTTTATGGTCTGCTTCTCAGGTGTTTATGGTTGGAAGTAAATAGTTATGTCTGAATATTTTAGCTACACTTATGCAGTCTTGAACTCACAGGTAAAAAGCATGTATTTAATCTTTAACTTGGAAACACGATCTAGCTCTGTAGTGTGGCTTTTGCCCAAGCCTTAAGAGTCAATAATGGATTGTGGGGTAGAAGAGACTTGAATCTAGAAGCAACTCCTGTGGTATACTTCACATGCTGAGTTTCAGCTTGAGGGATTTGGTTTAGCTAAAGAACAATCCAAATGTGGCAAAGAAAAAAATAACCTACTCATATTTCTTAGATGAGGGTGAAAATTGAAAGCTTTTCCACAGAAATAACTGACCAAGCAAGATCAGATGAATCTCTTCAATATCCAGTTACACTTACTGAGTATACTGTTGTGGTACTGATAAGCAACTACAGTATCAGCCTTGCTGCTAGCTTTTTGATGTCATTTGCCTGCTTGAAATGGATTCCTTTTGAGTAGGAAAAGGGAATAGGCCAGGATGCTGTAGTGATGGCTGTCTGGGGAGGCCTAACAGCTGAAATGTCACAAAGTGACCAGGCTCACATGCTTTCTCTAAATAGCTCCTCCTTTTGCCACCACTGAAAGGACAGTACTGGGCTTGATGAACCACTGGTCTGACTCCACTTATGCATTCTGCACTGATTTTTGCAGGACTGTTATGTTTTTTCCATATTTGTATTGAGAACTCCAGAAACGGAAGGATGTTTTATTAGCAAAGGCTTGCAGAAATATACCTTATTAGATTCTTCCACTAATTTAATAGTCAGTACAGCCTTTTTTTAAGAAGGTGTAGGGATTGAGCTGATGGAATTCTGTGTGAAAGGCATTAATTTGATGTGATCTGCAATGAGACTAAACCATGGGAATCAATCTTTTTAACATGCTTCTGTAGATAGTGTGGGACTGGCTAGGCAGGTATTACTTGTAGCTTGCTAATCAGATCTTAGATAAGTTTTAATTAGTTTGGCAGTATTATCTGACACTAACTTTTTACCTTATCTTGCTAATTTGAAAATAAATGTCTTTGGTCAGATGTGGCTTGGCTTTTCAAAATAAAGACCAGAAGCTATCTCTTCTTCTCTTCAAGAAGTTGAGTGGCACTTTTTAATACTTGACTGACTTTCCTTCAGGGTTGATTTTGGCTACTCGGGTAACTTCTAAAAAATATCTCAATTGCTACCAAGTAAGCTTTCAGTGAGTTGAAGCATTTGGTTTGATAGTTGAGGGAAGAATATACAAAAGGATGTGAGTAATATTTAGTTTCAAATTACTAAGGAGTTGGCTTGACATGAGGGCTTAGTGGGATCTTTAAAAGGTTTGATCCTTCATCGTGCCTGACTTTACTTGATTTTCCAGAGGATTCAACACTCTACTACATCACATTGCAAAAAAAAAAAAATCAAGGCTAAACTCTTCCCTATTGTTTTCCTGCAGACCTGACATTGTTAAACCAGTGTAGATTTTTTTTTCTTAATTTGATAAATTCTTGGCAAGAACTTGGGGATTGGATTAACTATGACTTCAGAGAAGGTAGAGTTATTTAACCTTTTGATAAGGCTAATCTGGATAGTCATTTGCTTTGTTTACAGTGACAAGGAAGAGAAGCTTACAGATGTTAACTTCAAAGGAATGAAACTTAGGGAGGATGTCAAGAGCTTTATGCAATATTTTATTTAGAGCTGCTTAGACTTGCATCTAAACTTGATTTACATACTCCAAAGTGTAAGCAATATCCTAAACGTTGTTATCCTCCAAGTCATTGGATGTGGAAAAGGAAATAAGTCTGAAGAAATTGGAATAGAACTGTTGGTAACAATGCCTAGTTCAACAGAAGTTAATTCTTACTGAACAAAAATACCTTGTTTTGATGCACCTTTGACCTGGTTTTACATGAACTATCGCATATTGCAATGTATTAATGAAGTGGGTTTGGGGAACTAGTATAGTCATTTTTCTGACTGCCTTTTACTGTGGAAGTCAGATCTGATACATAAATACTTAAATTCAGCCAGTTATTTGGCACACAAAATCCTCTAGGTATTCATATTGTCATGGTATTGAACTGTTATAACTTCTGTAAAGGTTTTGTTTTATAGAATTGCCTCTGACTTAAGCTTGGTTTAAGCTTGCTAATTCACCATTTGAGTTGAGAGGCACCGCTTTAGTCTGCAAGCTTGGAATAGATGACTTGAAGATAATAAGATATATTTCCAAAACTTTTTGACAAGTCAGTTGCCAAACACTTGTGACAGTCCTTTAAAAGCTGAATACAGTGATGTTAATAGCAGTATGTCAAAATAATATTTTTGGTAGTGTTTCTTGAACAGAGTTGAAAGCTTTGCTTACTTGACTTATTGTGTGCTGTTCAGATGCTTGTGCTATGAATGGCTTTTTCAAAACCTTGTGAAGGCTGGACAAACTATACATTAATTCAAAGCCTCAATCCAATTAAATAAGACAATTCAACAAAAAGTTCAGTTGATAAGTGTAGCTGATTGTTGGTAGCCATTGAGAGTAGTCCTCTGCTGATACACTGTCACAGATCAGAAAATCTTAGATAACTGGACATTAGTTTGAAGAATTGCAGGAAAGTGTTAAACAGTTTTCAGAAAGGAAAGGATTTATAGTTTTATAATATGATGATAAAACATCTTGAATTTGTTTTACACAATATATAGATTAGCTATGTATTCAGTAACTAACACCAGCAGCTTAAAGTACAAAAAAAATTAATGTAAGAAGCCTGAGCTGTTCTCTTAAAATTGAATTAACTTACTGCAGTGACAGCATTTAGGTAGTACCAATGTGTGATTGGTGTAGTGGTAAATGGTAGCCTTATTTCACACAGTTCATAGATATTCTCTTGAATTTGAATATCTCTTCCTTTATCCCCTTGGAAGAAACATGGGTCAGTCCCATTATCTAATGAGCTATAGGTGTACCTCATGTGAGTAAGGTATGCTGAAGTTAACATAGTAAACCTGGGAAATGAGTATGTTTTCTGTGCTTGCAGCGACCTCTATGGGCTGATTATTCTGATCGTTCATTAATGATGCATGTAACTTGCCTAATTTACTGGCACAATGCAGTGTGGATTTAGGACTAGTCTAAAAAAAGGCAGATTTTAGATTAGAGAGGCTTGATTTCTGAAAGCATTCACAATAATGAAGCAGTTTGAGTACTGCTGTAGAAGGTCTAAGAATGCTACATTTTGGAGTTTGAAGTTTTAAGGAGCCCTGAATTTTATGCTCTTGGCAAATGTGAGGAAGTTTATGAATTAAACAAGAACTTGTTCTGTTTGTTACACTGCTATACTAACTCAGCACTCTAAACAGTAGCTACTTCTACCACCTTGAAATATTTTTCCAAAGAATGAATTCTGTTTAGAAATAACTTCTCATTCATATTTAGGCTCTAGGTGTTGAGACTTTATTTGGCCTCTACACCACCTTCAGTAAAAATGCTAAGGTAGATTTCTTTGAAGCACATGGATACTGTAAGGAGCGTGCTAGCCAAGATAAGAGGCCACAGACTTAAGTTAGAGATGATTATATTGGTTAGTCGTGGGAAGATACTAATTAGTTATGCAAAATGTGGCAAAGATTAAAAATTGCCAAAGATCACAGGATTTGTGTGGTCCTGGGTATCTTTACTTACCTGCTCAAAGGGGTGATTTTGTGCTTGCGCAAGCAGTCTTGGTTGTGTGGTACTGCTAACATTTTGAGGGCTTGTTAACCATTCTAGGATACCTTTCTTGTGGGGTGCAAATACTGTAATGTACTGCTTGACAGTTTTTAGTTTCCTAATAGACTTCTGAAATGTTCATAGTATAAGATATTTTGAAGTATTGGAGGATTTTGCTAAATAATGATGGCCTAAAAAGTATGTAACTTCTTGTAATACAGAGAGCTGAAGATTTAAACTTGGAATTCTTGATTTGAAATTGGTCTCTTCCCTTCATATCATTGGCTAATCTGTTGTTTTTGACTAGCTGTCTTAATGTTTTCAAACTTGCCAGTTAGTATCTGTGAAGTGTTAGTTTAACCCTTCACTTATGTTAAACTAGCTGGTTTAAAGCCTCTTAAGATGACCTGTGTATCAAAGTAATATGACAATATGACAGTTTCACTTAGTGGCTACTCAGAAAAATGTCTGTTGCAATCTCCAGTTAGTGTCTCCTTTAAAAAAGGGATATTAAACAAAGATGATACTATATTGCTATGGCTTGTTCTGTTTGTGAACTGAGGTCATCAATAACAGAACAATGCCTTCCGTCTATAATATACTTATGTTAATAGTAGAACATCCCCTGAAATGGAGTCCAGTGATCAAAATAGCTTTGAATTTGTTATATTTTTGTATATACCTTTTCTATGAACAACTTCTGTTATTAGTGGCATAGCTTGTTTTTATTTACTCTCCTCTATGCTACCTCTTCCCCAGTGTGCTAGTCCTGTGTATCACCTGCATGCAGATGATTACTTTTAGTCTTTTTATCATTGCTGAATTGAAGGCAGATCTGAAATCCTTAGTCTGAATGGATTAATTCTGTAAGTCCTTTGGAGTTTACAAAACAGTAATAGTTCATATGCTGGCTAGTAAATTTTATTAACTTTTCAATGCTTGAAATTAGTAAGAGCTAGAATGAGAGTAAACTGTTTGATTCTTTTCTTTGAATTACTATGCAGTCAATGAAGTGCCAATGTAACTTTGTCTCTTCATTTAATTGAATTCTTTCTCCTAGCTTTGTACTCCATCATACTGTTCTGCGTCTTTCTGTGGATTCCCTTTGTCTATTTCTACTATGAGGAGAAGGAAGAAGATGATGGCAACACATGCTCAGTAAGTTCACTCTAGCAAATGCACCAAGTAGTAAAAAGACAATTAATACAGGCAAAAATGAAAGCAAGAATGATTGTCTAACTTGAATACTACAATGTTAATGGCATTTCTAAGTCTATTACTATGGTTCCTTTAACATACTGAGGCAGCTCTTAATAACACTTAGTCTGACATAGTCTATTGTAAGTACTATGGTCTCACATGAAATGAAACTTTAGTGAGATAAGTAATTAACATCTGTATTGCCATGAATTCTTCAAGCTTCCTGCAAATTCCTTTGAGCCTGATTTCATATACAGGAAGTTAAACTTCTTATATGAGACTTTCCTTAGAATAGGAAACATGTATGAACAGGTTTTAAAGTAGAAGACAGGAAGATTATACTGATTCTGAGATAGACACTAAATTTGAGTACCTTCCTTCTTGTAGCATTTGCATTTTTTCTTGAAGTAGGCAGTAGTAATTTACCTGAAGCTAGCACTTGGTTATTTTTGTAATGCACTGAAGATTTTTGACATGCATGACATTCTAGGGAATACAATAAGTGCATGCCAGTAAGGTGCTAACTTTTCAAATGAAAATACTTTTCTTAGTCTTTTGATCATTTTCCCCTCTATTCAGTTGTAACTTTAACATGAGGAAAAAGACTTCTAATCATAGCCATAATATAAAGCATTGGTAATAAGAATTTTCTTTGAACAAATGTACCCTGGCTTCTGGCCACAGCTGCTCAAGTGCATAGTTTATGATGGAAGCATAATTCAATGTCATTGTTCATAGCTCTCAAGCTATGAGACTCTTCAAAATGTATACTTTTGACTTGTGTCTAAAACTACTCATGTTTTCTGTGGAGGTCCTTTTGTGTACCTGTTATGTTAAGTATGCTTTGCCACAACTTGTTGGGCAAATCCCTTTGGACTTATTTTATGTTAATATATTAAACTTTCTCTTTAATATACAGCAGGTTAAAACTGCACTCAAATATACTCTGGGATTCATCACAATTTGTGCAGTTCTTCTCTTAATTGGGTAAGTATTTGTATTGAACATTAACAGGGGTTATACTAAATAGAATGCCAAACAAAACTTTGTTCTGTGCAAGACTAAAAAGGTAGATTATGGTGCACTTAATCTGTATAATGAATATTTAGCTTAATCTCTAATAGGGCTTAAATATCCTGAGAATTAGGTATCTGAAAAGTAAGAGTTTAACTGGAAGCTGACTGTTTTCTTAATTGTGGAGATAGTTGTGCTTCCAAGTTCTGCCTGTTTGTGCAGTATGAATGTCCCTCAAGGATATGATGGCTGTGACCCAACTGTATTGATATCTCAGTATACAACAGGGAGTAAAATATTTGTGCTTTTCCTATTTTCTGCCTCTATCAGATGCTTTCATGGACATCCCAAAAGATCTTTTAGGAATATGAGTAGGTGTTACGTGCTTAGTACTTTCCCAAATGGAAGTGTTCTGTGAAGAACATAAGTATAGTATGGGATTATACTTGACATAGTTGTGCCTTGTATGATAAAGGTTTTGCTGGCCTTTATTTGAAAGGCAGACATTACTGAAGTTGGTAACTTGTTTGCAGCAAGTGCTGTTATTCTGAAACTCCAAGCAGTATTACAAATTCAGTTTAAGATCACCATTAAGAATGACGTGCACACCAATATTGAATGTTTCTAATGTATGCTGTGTCATAAGCTCTTTAGCATCTTGACTGCAGCAATAAAGTTGATAAATTTACAAAGCGTATGCTAAAATGATCCATGTTGAAGTACTGGAGTGTAAAGTAGAAACTAGAGTGAAATTAATGCTTCTAATTTTATACCACCTTGGAATATTGCTTTAGTTTAGATAAAGACTTAGGGTGCATTTCTAAGTCTATTGTCCTTTCAATTAAAAGTAACTATTTGCTGTTATGATGGACTAAAAGGAGTTTGAGTTAGCTTAATCATGATCTAGAAATGTTACTGAAGGTTCGGACAAAAGCTGTTTCTCTGTTTGCTCGCTTCATAGGCATACATATGTGTAGTGTATAATATATCCAGTTTAGAAAAGTTTGCAGTATCTCTAGCAGGTGTCAGCTGAATCCTCAGTAGCTGTAAGCATGCATGTTCTTCTCTTCCAGTAAGATGGAACTTGGTTCTTGACTTCCTAATTGTCCTCTGGGCTCTTAGGCTTGTTGCTTAAAGTCTTCACAACTTGTACATTACAGCAGCTTCCACAATCCCCTCTGATACTGTGCCATATGACAGTGAGATTGATTTGCAAACCAGACAGCTGTTGTACTTGGCCTGGGACTAAGTTACTGAACAGTGCTTCTCTGTAGGTACAGACTCGAAACCCACTGATCTAAACAGTAGAATATCTGCTGCAGGGAGGCAGGACTCCTTTTGATACTGATAGGGATTTTCGTATTTCTGGGTTCTAATTGAACAATTTTTCTGCTATTATACATATGAGGTTGCTTGTTTTCTTTTAAGAAGGTAACGATTAAATAGTAGCATCATACCAATGCCCTCAGAATGGAAAAGCACCCTTGCTACTTAAGATGCTGCTGCAGAAGAATATAATTCTTGTCTGTCCCCTTTAAGGGAAACTACAAGACTGAACAGCTCAGTTTAGGAGGCAAATGAGGTGACTGTGCTGAAGAAAAATGTGAAGAACTTTGGTTCTAGTATAGTTTATATATATATATAAAATAAATAAAATAGCAGATGTCTTAGTGTTTATGTATGTGCTTGTTATGGAGAAGTTATTAGTCTTAGAGTTAGTCAACTGTCTGTGCAGCAGGGACAAAGAGCAGTGTCAGAAGTCCCAGTGTGATAGGAAAGGGATAAAAGTCTTGGAGCTGAAGCTTCTACATGAGGCATTCAACTGAACGTGGTAGTGAAGACCAGTCTTGCAGTACTGCCTATACCTGGCAGTAGCAGGAGATTCTCACTTGTGGTCAGGATCAGACCAACATTAAAACAGACTGGAATTTTATGTACTAGATTTAATTTTAGGAGGCTAGGCTTAATGGATTAGGATACTCATGCACACAGGTTACAAGAACAAGAGGGGCTGGAATATTTCCTGTTAAGTGACTACCAAATAGTCTGTCTATCTTGTGCTTACATGACTAGTCTGGCATACCAAGACAACCTCTGTTCTGATTGATTTAGCAAATAATCTCTAAAACAGGTCAATAAATAACTTGGTTGCTTTCAAGATAGGTCTCCACAAGAAGTCCCTACCTCTTTCCTGGTCAGCAGTCCTGAAAGAAACCATAAAAGCTGTATTAAGCTTGAAGTTTAAGAATCTGTTATTCTTACCTGGCTGTCTACTTTGCTCCATTAGATATATATGTGACTATTTTGGGAAATATAATATCTGGTTTGTGCCAGGTGATCTTGGAGGTTTTTTCTAAGTTGATAACAGCTCAATGAGCAGGATTCCACTGTCTAAATTGTTACAGGAGTAGTATTTATACCTCCCACTCTAGCTGTCTGTTACAAAGCCCCTTGCTGTGGTAAAAATGTGCATGTCTATAATAGCACTTAAATGCTCTGTACACAAATAACTTGATGCAGAGTACCAAATTTATACTGGGATACTTGGAACTAATATTTATTTGTAATGCCTTTCCTGTCTTAGAAATTATTTACTTTCCTTCAATATAGTTTGTTTATTCTAAATGTCATGTGCTGGAGCCAAGGGGCTTGAGATACTACAATCTACATTAAGACACCCTTATACAGCAGTCTGGTTTGAACTAAAATACTAGCTTTTGAGGCTAATGAATGTTTGGTTCTAAAAGGAATGTTTCCATGACTGTCAGTGTTTGGCATTAAACTGTTTACCTTAAATTTTCTAGAATGATTAGCTTTTAAAAAGCTATGAATATGTCTAATTAGTCCATAAACAATGATGCAAATCATATTATAGTAGAACTCTCTTCAAGGAAATGTGTTTAAATCTAGTGTGTTAGAAGTTATTTTCCTAAGGATGACAGTTAATGGCACTCCTTAATTTAAGAATCAAACTTTGACCCATCTACACCTGTGTGTTATTAACCCTGCCAAAAGTTAATAGTTTTAAGCTGCTTGTCTTTCATTTACTTTCCTTGTTCTGCAGCCTAGATATTGATCTAGATCTTAATCATAATATTCCCAGGATGTTTTTTAAAAAGTATAGCAGTTTGCTTCTATTCTTAAAATTACTGCAGTTAATAATTTCTTTTGTGCCCAGAATTCCAAGTGTAAGACATCACATCACAGCTGAGCTGCTTTGTTTGCTTGTATTAACTGAATTCTCAGCTACATGTGTAAAACTCTGCACTGGCACTTGTACTCCATTCACTTACTGTCAATGGACTGACTTGTATTACAGCACAGTGGTGACAGGTGAATAGAGTTGTTTAGCATGGAAACTTCTCATTCTGTTGATGGCTACTATGGCCCTCAGGCTATGTTCACCATTTAGTCAACATAGTGAAATAGCCAAGACTTCTGTCAAACTTCTTACTCAGTGTGCATGAAGAATAGACTTAAACTGCTCTGCACTGTGCTGGTCCAATGGATGGGCTGTGTTTTAGAGATCCTTTGGGAGTGTTGACTGGATGCAGATCTGTAGATGGCTAGGCATATTAACTCTGTCTCATTCCTGTGGCCCGTTAAGCTAGAGGCCAAAAGTCTGTTCAAGCAGGCTAGTTAGCTTTCTGGCTAGTTTGCTACTAGTTGAGGGACCCTGTTCTGGAGGGGAAGTAAGATTCCTGCTTGGTTGGGACAAAAGTGTGTGAATTTATAGCTCCTGCATTCCTTTCTGAGGCCCTTGGCGCACAGAACTTGAGCGGGAGCAGAATTGGATGTCTATCTCCTTCAGTCAAGATCTAGCTGAGTACTAACTGGAGAGTGTGTATAATGGGTTATGTGGCTTCTGCTCTGATTAGTGTCCTTTGACATGCTGGTTGTAGGTAGTCTCGGGGGAAAAAAAGAAAATTTAACCATACTGCTGTTGGAGGAGGGGGGAAAAGGCAAGCAAGTTACAAATACCCTAAGATGTTCTTCCATCTCACTTGTTCCCTGCATGTGGTCCACAGATAACAAATTCGTACTGATGCTAAAATAAAAGGACTTGAGCTCACTTAGTTTCCCAGTCACCTATTTTAACCCTTTTTAGCAACTAAACCTGCAGCTATTTGTGTTATCTCTTGTAAGTAGAAATTTTGCCTAACTTTGTTTTAATACCTGTGTCTCGATTTTTTGCATGGATACTATTTTACATAAAGAATTACTACTAGAGGCAGATAAAAGAACAAAAATCTGAAGTCTGCAAGCATGCATTAACTTAAGTAAATGCTAGCCTTAATCTACCTCTTACACAGTCAAGAAGCTACAAATCGAACATTTTTTTAGAAGTTAGGATTTTAATTTTAAAAATTTTAACTATGTTTGCAGAGTACCAGTTTCTGTTTGGTTTTGATGTGATAACTGCACACGGTTCGTTTAGCCCTGACCTTTGAAACACATGCTTATGTTCTGTACTTGAAGTTTGAGGCATACTCCTGGAAGATGCCTATTTATTATTAATTTGTTTCTTGGGACATGAAGCGGGGGTCTGATTATGTACTCTTTCTTACAAAAGTCCAAATGGTACTTGTGAGCATTCTTTATGGGCTTTAGTTTGGGTTCTCACATTCCTTACCTAAAAAGTTTCCCTCCAAATCTGACTTCCTTGTGACTTGTAAGCTTTCTGTGTTATGTCTGGAAGCTATGGTTTCAGATTGGTATGGAGGTACTGGTATTCCAGTTGTTAGAAAACTAGCTGTTTCGTCTGTGGAGATGCTAAAGAGTTACTCTTATTATTGGACTTTAGATGGGGAGACAGACAGCAGGAAGCTTCCAGCTATCTATCTGATATTTTTGAGCACTCTTTGCTAGTCTGCTTATTGGAAGGTCAAAAATACTTAATGAACTTCATAGAATCATAGAATCCTTTGGGATGGAAGGGACCTTTAAAGGTCATGTAGTCCATCCCCCCTGCAATGGGCAGGGACATCTACAACTAGATCAGGTTGCTCAGAGCCCCATCCAGCCTGGCCTTGAATGCTTCCAAGGATGGGGCATCTACCACCTCTCTCTGGGCAACCTGTTCCAATGTTTCACTGCCCTCATGGTAAAAAATTTCTTCCTTATATCCAGTCTGAATCTTTTAGTTTAAAACCATTACCCCTTGTCTTATTGCTACTGGCCCTGCTAAAAAGTCTGTCCCCATCTTTCTTAGAAGCCCCCTTTAAGTATTGAAAGGCTGCAATAAGGTCTCCCCACAGCCTTTTCTTCTCCAGGCTGAACAACTCCAGCTCTTTCAGCCTTTCCTCATAAGAGAGGTGCTCCATCCGTCTCATCATCTTTGTGGCCCTTCTCTGGACCCTCTCCAACAGGTCCATGTCCTTGCTGTGCTGAGGACCCCAGAGCTGGATGCAGTACTCCAGGTGGGGTCTCATGAGAGCAGAGCAGAGGGGCAGAATCCCCTGCCTCGACCTGCTGGCCACGCTGCTTTTGATACAGCCCAGGATACGGTTGGCTTTCTGGGCTGCAAGTGCACATTGCTGGCTCATGTCCAGCTTTTCATCTATCAGTACCCCCAAGTCCTTCCCCGCAGGGCTGCTCTCAATCCCTTCATCCTCCAGCCTGTACTGATGCTGGGGATTATCCCGACCCAGGTGCAGGACCCTGCACTTGTCCTTGTTGAACTTCATGAGGTTCACACAGACCCACCTCTCGAGCTTGTCCAGGTCCCTCTGGATGGCATCCTCTCCCTCAGGTTTGTCAACTGCACCACTCAGTTCTCTGGGCCAACTACAGAGCAAGGAATGGAATGCAGCAGATGTGGTGTTATTTTTACTGTAATAATAGAAGATAAACATGTCCCTTTAAACTTAATGATTCCCACACCAATCATTAATTGTTTTATTCTAGCTTCTACAAGTATGGCTTTGTAGGACAATTTGTCTCAATTGACGCTTAAGTCTCTTTGTTCCTCTGTATGAGTCAAACCAGGATAATAAATCAGATTATTACATGTTTTAATGTGTTTGAGTGTAGGGTCCTTGCCTCTGTTAGGACTAGTAAATAGAAAATCACTTGTTCATTGACTTCAGATCTGATTCTGCTCACAAGTACTCTGATGATCTAAAGACAGCATTTGAGGGAAATGTGAATAAAATGAAACATTGCCTTAAGAATTTCTTAAACGTAACATCATACAAATTTTCTTCAGGAATAAATGGATTTCTATTTTATTAGCTTGGAAGCAGGATTCTTTTGATATTTGACTGATTAGGGTAAGTGAGAACTTCTTTGCTTTGTTACAGTGCTTTTGTTCCTTTGGATATTCCCAACAAGAAGAATTCCACAGAGTGGGAGAAAGTAAAGCTCCTGTTCGAAGAATTTGGAAGTAGTCGTAAGTATGATATTTGTTCTGAGCTTTGCATAACTTGCTACTAATGTATTTTGGCATACTCATTGACTGAATAAGAAACAAAAGTGTCACCAAGAAAGTTAGTTAACTTGACTAACTGTTCACCTACACTAAATCTTTGCAATAAGATTGTTCTTCTGTTCAGACAAAAAAAATCAGAACCATCTTTAAAGAGAGGAAACACTGGCAGTGTCTGCTTTCAGTACAGTCACCATTTGACAACAAGGATTCCAATGTTGTGTCCTATGATATTAATGGTGGGGAGGGGAAGGTACTTCCATGGAGTTGTCGCTTAACACAGCTTTTAAATGTTACTTGGATACCCTGAAATCAGTGACTTCAGTGTGATGAGTGTGTATCTTGTCATATGACAGTTTTCAGCGCTTACCTAATTAAATGTGATACTGCTGTTCACTGTAAGAATAAGACTATTTCATAAGTGGCTTTGTCTATTTAGACAGGAAAATCCTATGGGTCTTATGATTTTTTCCCTTTGTTCTCCTAGTATTGACCTTTTTTAAAATTGTTTTGTTTGCATTTGTTATACTTCTTTATGGTAGGGCTATAAAGCACTATTGTGAAGGCCAAACTCCATGAAGTTGTATTTAACCTTTAGTTTATGGAGTTCATGTATTCAGCCAGGGTGTGCTTTCAGAGCAGAGGTGTGAAGAAAGTGTTTTATAGGTATGCGAAGACAGACTTGATGTCACTTTCCAAATGTATCCAGAAAAATGGTAACTAAAAGTTATCTGAGAAACACTAATCCAAATGCATAAGTAATATTTGCCGCATTCTTGGTATGTATCAAGAGTATTGACTTCTGAATGCTTTAGAATATAATGCTACAAGGCTTCGTTAAGTCGTATTTTGCATTATTCTAGGAATTTTGTACTGACTAAAAGTTCCCTGCAATGACTTTTGCCAGCTCTGTCAGCACTTGGCGTATCCCTTCAGGGCCCGTCAACTTTGGATGTCCAGTTTGCTTAAGTAATCTCTAACCTGATCCTCTTTCACCAAGGGTACATCTTCCAGCCTTTCCCTCTGATCTCTCAGGCCTGGGTTTCCTGAAGCCTGGTCTTACTAGTAAAGACTGAGGCAAAGAAGGCATTCAGTACCTCAGACTTTTCCATGTCCTGTGTCACCAGGGCCCCTGCTCCACTCAGCAGCAGGCCCACATTTTTCCTCATCTTCCTCTTGCTACTTATGTACCTGAAGAAGCTCTTCTTGTTGCCTTTGACATCCTTGGAGAGTCTTTCTATCATAATACATGCTGTGCTGTAAGCTGTGCTTGCAAGCATAGGAGATGGGAGGGACAAGTCCATAGCTTTTTCATAACTTTGGCTGTCTGCTTGTTTTTGTTTCTCTTGCTTCACAAAGATTCTAACTGACAGCATAGAATAAAATGCTTCTTAAACTGTTTATACAGGTAGTGACAGTGGTTGAGCTGAGTTGTAAGCTAATTTTTCTAGGCTACCTTGATGTGGCTGTCAATTAAATATTCAGCTCTGTACATGTCCTTGCTATGAAAGTATAGTATAGCTAATGTTTATTTCTAGGAAGGTTTAATCATTAAGATGCTGGATTGGGATGTGGAAGTCTGGTTTTGATTTCTGACTCTACCAGCATTCTCTTGTAACTTTTAATTTCATAGGATAGTTAAGACTGGAGAGACCTCAGGCCATGTAGTTTAATCACCTGCACAAAGAAGGAAGCTGTAAGGTCAGACCAGGTTGCTCAGGGCTTTATCAGCTAGCTCTTGAAAAACCCCTAAGGATGGAGACTCACCTCACGGTGAAAAAAACATTTCTTCTTACCCACTGTGGGTGTACCCATTGGTTCACACTCAACTACTATGCACCATTGAAGACCCCGGGCTCCACCTCTTTGATAAGCAGGCAGGCTATATTAGGTCTCTCCAAAGCTGTCTCTACTAGGCTGAACAAGCCTGGCTCCTTCAACTTCTTAGCACAGCATGTGCTCCAACTTAGCTTTCTCCTTAACTTGCTAAGATTTATCAATCTTGCCTGTAGCGGGGGCCTCAAAACTGGTTGCGGTATTCCCTATATGGTCCCTTCCCTTAATGGATGGGCGTGTTCCTGTTCATAGAATCATAGAATTGTTAAGGTTGGAAAAGACCCTTAAGATTATCAAGTCCAACTGTTAACCTAGCACTGCCAAGTCCATCACTATACCATGTCCTCGAGCACCACATCTATCTGTCCTTTAAATACCTCTAGGGACGGGGACTCAAGCCCTGCCCTGGGCAGCCTGGGCCAGGGCCTGACAGCCCTTTGGGTGAAGAAGTTTTTCCTAATGTCTAACCTAAACCTGCCCTGGCGCAGCTTGAGGCCGTTTCCTCTCATCCTATCACTTGTTCCTGGGGAGAAGAGACCGACCCCCACCTCACTACAGCCTCCTTTCAGGCAGTTGCAGAGAGCAATAAGGTCTCCCCTCAGCCTCCTCTTCTCCAGGCTAAACAACCCCAGCTCCCTCAGCCGGTCCTCATAAGGCTTGTTCTCTAGACCCTTCACCAGCTTCGCTGCCCTTCTTTGGACACACTCCAGCACCTCGGTGTCCTTGTAGTGAGGGGCCCAAAACTGAACACAGTACTTGTGCAGCCCCACCAATGCTGAGTACAGGGGCACTATCACCTCCCTGGTCCTGCTGGCCACACTATTGCTGATGCAGGCCAGGATGCCATTGGCCCTCTTGGCCACCTGAGCACACTGCTGGCTCATGTACAGGCGGCTGTCAACCAACACCCCCAGGTCCTTTTCAGCCAGGCAGCTCTCCAGCCACTCCTCCCCTAGCCTGTAGCGTTGCATGGAGTGGTTGTGACTGAAGTGCAGGACCTGGCACTGAGCCTTGTTGAATCTCATGCAGTTGGCCCTGGCCCAGTGATCCAGCCTGTCCAGGTCCCTCAACAGGTCCCCTGTTGATACAGCCAAGGGTGCTGTTGGACTTCTGTGCTGCCAGGACACACTGCTGGCTTATCTTTAGCTTACTGTCTGCCAAGACACCCTGAGGTTTTTGTAGAACTGCTCCACAGTCCACAAGTTCTTGGTCAGTATTGTTGCAAAAGGTTCTTTCATGTTCCAGATATGGGAGAAATGAGGACAAAATTCTTGCCTGTTGTCTTTACTTGTACCTGTTGTCCTGTTTTTATATTAACTTATCCTTTTCCTTTGTCTTTCTGCAGTTAACCCAAGAAATAAAGATCTTAATTTTGGATGTTTGTTCTATGTCCATTCAATTTGTAGGGGGATTATAAAAGGAATGTAAACTCACCCACTGAGGCAGAGCCTGATAATATACTTCTGGTATGCAATTAGCAATTTTTCAGCCAGTTAGTTTCTTAATGTTCTGTTGAGCATAGTTCAAATTTTTAAATAGATATTAAATGTTGGTTTCAAATACATGTACAGGACGACCATCAAATATGGTGTTTAAGTACCTTGTGTCGTATGTTAGAAATAGGGGTCACTTATATGTGGGTTTTTTCCCTAAACTTCAGAACATAGGTAAAGTTTTCACAAGTACTAAAGGGGGAATAGTGCTGGGTTTGGTTTTTTCCCAGTTTTAAACATAGCTGTAGTATTTGAAACTTACAAACATATTGCTGTTAGCTTTAGGAAATTTGTTAGGTATTATCTAGCAAAAATAGCAAAGGAAAGATTCGAGCTGTAAAGTTGGTTTTGGTGATGCTGTTCTATTAGTTTTTGGCATTTTTGGAAGGAGGCCTGTAGGGTTGGTCAGAAGAAAGATGCAGCTTCTCGTGGAGGATAACTGTAATAGGATTTCTCAGTTTGTGAATGCTTGATCCTATGTTCAGGGAAAAAAATGGAAACCAGCTAGTGAGTGGAAACGGGCTAATAATTCTGTGTGAGAGGAATAAAAGTTACTATGCTCTAGACTCTTGAATTAACGAGAGGGGAGGGGAGGACATTGGGGAGAACACTAAATAGTAGCTCATTTATTATGACTGGGTGCAAACATGAAATTGATTACTTAAAGTTAATTTCTATAATGACTACTATAAGTTTCCATGCTACTACTTAACCAAAAAAGCTTACCATGTTGTGTCCTGTATGGTAAGGTTAGGGACAGGGCTGTTGTGAAAAATTATGCAGGAGGATTCAGGGAGTTTGCCTTTGGGGATGAGGTTGGTAACTCTTTTCTTCTACTATCACTTTTCATTTCTAGAGTGATAGGAAGGCTACAGTAACTCCTTAGTCCCCGACCTTTTTCTGGTTTGTACATTTGGGTGTACGTGGTCTGAGTGAAGCTGAGGCCTGCCGTCTGGCTTGTTCGGTTGTTTGGAGGATCCATGCTTGCCTGCTTCTCTGGATAGTGCTTTATTATGACAAATCAGATGATAACAAACAAAATAAATATGAACCATCCAAAATGCATGTGTAAATTACAAAAATTACCACAGTGCCCTGCGAAGGCCAGAAATAAGTCTTGAAGAGGCATTAGACAGCTATGGGAGCAAATTCATTAGTGGCTATTTGACCATTTGACTGGATGCAACATCTGTGAACTTGTAGCAAAGGCGAGATGGCTGTCCTGTTTCTTGCAGTATTGGAGGAAGATCTACTGCTGACAAAAAACTATGCTAGGTGAATTTTTCATCTGGGTTGTTATGGCTGGGGAATTTTTCTCAATATTTTTTTTCTTCAATCTAATGAACTTAAATATCTTCAGGAAACCAATTCAGGAAGAAATGTTCTTCAGTATTGGAAAGATCTACTGCTGACAAAAAACTATGCTAGGTGAATTTTTCATCTGGGTTGTTATGGCTGGTAACTATGTCTCAATATTTTTTTTCTTCAATCTAATGAACTTAAATATCTTCAGGAAACCAATTCAGGAAGAAATGTTCTTGTACCTCTACTGTAGGAATTTTCAACAGGCTCTTTTTTTTTTGCAGATGGCTTGACTGCTCTTGCATTTTCAATTAGTTCCTTGACTGTGATTGGAATGTTGGCAGCTATCACTTACACAGTAAGTTGTTACGCGAATGTTTCAGCTCTTTACATTCATGATACTTGCAGTTATCACATGCTGTACCTGCATGGAAAACTGTCATCATGCTAACTAACTTCAACAGTGTCTTCTAGCTCTGGGTTTTCATGGTTTGAAACACTACTTCTAAGTTCTTGGAGTGAGAAGAATAACTTTTTTACTGCAAGTTTAAGAACCACTGTTTCAGCACTTGAGCACAGATCAAACTTAATTTCAATATGTTTCTGCAAGGGGAGGTCACATTATTTCTTGTGGCTTGTAACACATTTTCACTGGGTCCTCCTGTTTTTAAGCCTCTGTCTTTTTCTCTATCCAGCAGTGGAGAGCTAAATACTACTTTATTGAACTATGACGTAACCTAGATTTGGTCTGGTCAGTCTATAATACTGAATATAACCTTTCCTACAACCTTTCTACATTGGTGTTTTTATCTCTACAGAGCTTTTCATTGTAAAGTCTGGCATAATAACTTGATTTGTAAAGAAGTAGGCATAATGGTCTCGATCGTAACTGTCTCTTTTTATAAAAGGCTGTTCATTCAATAAATGAAAAAGCAATGTCTTTAACAGAGCATTGCTTCACAGTTCTGTATTTCTAGAATTTGAGTGGCAGTAAATTTGAGTAAATATCTATGCATGTCAGGATTCAGTTTTAGGTATGAAGAATCTGCAGCATCTTGTGATGTGTGCCTTAAATCAAGAATAGCTAAAGTTAAAAGCAAATAGATTTTGAAATTGTTTAGAGGCTTGTTTTCTAAAGCCTTGGGAATATTCTTGTTCGTCCTAGGCATGCAACTAAACTACTGCAGTTCTTTCTGTAGCTTAGAAGGATTCGGAAGTGTTCATTCTGTAACTGATTGTAACTCACATGATTAAGGCTATGTTAATTCAACTGCTTGACTCCTGCTTTTATGTACAAAGGAAAGGAACCGTTTTAACATATTATCTTTGGCCAACATTTGATGTTCATGTGGTCACTTCCTTTTCCAATCTGTTCTATTTCTTCAGTCACTGAATAATCAGCCTGTTTGTAATGCTACATGTATTAACTTGCCATCAAGGTAAAATTTTGCAACAAAGATGAAGCTTTAAAGCTTAAGATAACTCTAGACAAAGCTTTAACACCTCTCAGAAGTCAGTGTTTTCCTGATATGTTTTAATCTTTAAGTTCATGTCTGTGCTAAAATAACTTTCTCTTCCATTGCAGCCTGGCTCTAACATAGTAAAGTTGTTCCTGCATAGCTTTGGTGAATTCTAAGTGGCTCTGTAACAGTAGCTCATACAATAAGTTATTTTGAAGCATTGCTAGCCAAGGAGATGTTTTGCGGTAGCTTGTTGTCAGACAAAGGATAAATGGATAAAATTATCATAGAACAAAGATATTAGAAAAAGAAGGAAGAGTGTTTTAGACATAACTGGGTGAGAGGGTAAAGTACCTGCTAACTACTACCTTTAGAATCTTAAATCATAGTTGAATAACAAGCATAGCTAATGATTTTCTGTCTCTTTATACTAGTGACTTTAGCTGGTGTAAGTTACAGCAGGATTGTGGGAGGCAATTCAGTACAGGTTCTTAGATGTAAGTATCAGAACATTGACAGCTCAGCAGTCTTCAGGCTCTGTGCAGTAGGTAGGAGAGCAGTTTGGTGGATCAGCTAGTAGGTATCTCAGGTGAGCTGAATTGCTCTCAGTCCCATTGACTAAGTGCTTTAACTTGACCTGAATCATAAATTTTATTACTTTAAGTCTTTTCTGACTGACATGGGTCACTAAATCATTCAGGCTATATTGCTGACATCTAGATCATGTGCTGGTCAAAAAAGATCCAGACCTTCGCTTAGGCTGTAATAACATGTCAGCTTTTAAATTTGTTTCCCTTAATTATGGAAGGAAAGATTAATCTCTTGTTCAATTACATTACTGCAGAGCACATGTAGTATTTTTTAACCTCCATGAGACTAACATTAAGAACAAACTAATTTGCTGGGAGAATATCCTTAGTGCTGTTTTCAAACAGCTACCCAACTATGGTTTTTGTAACATCTATAAGCATCTAAAATGCAAGATTGTTTTCAGTCAGCAATAAATTTGTGTAAAATAAATGTAAATATCTAAAAAAGTAGCATTTGGAAGTTTTTAAATTTATTGTTAGTATTTCCTACTTATGTTATTTCCCTATTTATTTTTGAGCCTAGTTTGGTTCTAGGCACCATTCAAGTGAATATCACAATATGCTACTGTCCTCAAAACTAGCTGAACCTGGAAATAAGTGACTTCAATAACTTCAGTGTGCTGTCTTGTCTGTGGTTTCTCAGGAAGACAATACCTCTGTCCTCAATATTGTTGCCTTAGTCTTACTGTATTTAGGACTTGTACAAATACTGGGTGGTAAAGGAGGTGAGACATCAAGCATGAGAACTAAAATAGTCTTCTCTGAATGCCTTAATTACTAAGATTTTAGGCTAATTTGTTGCTTTGAAAACTTCAGCTGAGCTGTCCATGCAAACGCCAGGAGCATGGAATTACTATTTACTTTGTTTTTTAACTGCTGTATTTGATCCTTCTGAGACTATCCCTTCTGTTTTACAGTAGGTTTTCAGACAGGGTGGGAGAAATGGAGGAGCTATTTCACAGAAGTTTTAGGGAAGAGCTCACACGGGAGGTGGTTGTTGTCCCCCTCTGATATGAGAGTGGTTTTTGTCTTTGTTTGCAGGCAATTGTAGAATCTTATGCTGAAACAGTGAGCTGGCTTTGGTACATGGGTGGACTGAGGTACAGATGTGTCACAGACAGTGAAAGCCACTTATTAGAAGGTCTGTGTTCTCAAAGTTGGAGCAGGAATAGATGTTTTTTATGCTCCAGTGCTTTCATAATGCTTTCCCAATGCTGGTGGTGGTCAGGTTTCTGTATGTAAGCAATTTCCACCTGTGACAGCATGAGCAGTGCTGTTCTTGTAGTCTGAAGAGTGACTTGCAAGTGTGATCTCAACAGCATGTGGATGCCGTGTACCTGCATTCCAGTTTGTATTGTGGGTTGGGCTTTTCCCAGTGGTACAACTTAATACAAAAGTTACTTCAGTAATGAAAAGTTCCTGGGCCATCACACTTTCCTAAGCCTCAGGGGGAGGTTGGCCCAGACTACTGACTCTCGGTGTCTACCAGCTTGGATTACTCCACTCCCTCCACTTAGGAGGAGGAGAAGCATGATTCTGGAAGGAGTACCTGTTTATTTTCTTGGTAACTTCCTACTTTATGTTGTGGATTTTTTGCTGTGTTAGTATTGTATAAAAAAATCACCTCTAAATAAGACATATTAGTGTACAGGCAAGTCTGTGAGGCATTGTCTGTAACACTTGCCTCTGACTTTAGACATCTGACAAGTAGTTAGGCTCTTGTATTTTTCAGCCAACCTTCTGCATGCCTATCAAATTGTTTGTCCCAGTTTCTAAAGGTGGGAGGCCTTTGTGCTTAGTCATCAAGTCACTGTTTGATAATCAGTGGTAGACTTTTTTTAAGCACAAAGAGAATACCCTTATATAAAGGTGAACACAAGAACAAAGACGCCTACTCCAAAATTTTCCACAAATGCTTAGCAGATGATGGAAAAAAGGGTAGAGAGAATAGATGGGGACACAACGTGTGGTGTCTGAGTTCCCCTGTCTGAACAGAGGTGATCTTGGATCTTTGGTTTATACTAGTTAGGAGTTGAGGGTTTGTAGTACAGACATAACTGACTTTTTTGATGTTCCCCTGACTTCTGAATATCCTTAGTCTGTTCCATTGCCAGTGTTGCAGTTGTATTGCTAAAGGGAAGCTAAGAACAAGTGTAGCTGGTCTTCTGTATACTCATATTCACCTTTTTACTGTAAAGAAAAAAATCTATTCTACATGAACATCTAATGAAGGTTGTATTGTAATAAATGATACCTTAGTAAATACTTTTTGATACCTAATTACGAATGGTTTTATGTTGAATGCTTACTACTTTAACACAAAATACTAAAAGTTAAATAGGAATGCTGTGCCTGCACTGACTGCAGTTGGCTGATAAAATCTTAAAATATTATTTGTGGAAGAATACCATGAAACAAGTGAATCAGGTGATTCTATTTAAGTCACTTGGAGTACAATCTATCAATTCAACAATTAGTCAAATGTATGTTAACAGTACTGCTTTGTGTGGCCTTCAGTATGAAGAATTAGATTATGGCAGTTCTAAAATTGCACTTCTGCATTGTGGTAATATGCAATAGTATGAGAAGCTGGGGAAAAGAGGTTTGGGCACTGACAGCAGGCGACCTTGAATTTCAGTAAATACTGAGAGCAAAAGCTCACTTCTGCATGTGTATGCTCCTAGGCTTTCTCTATGAAAGCCTATTCTCCTGCTTCCGCAGGAGGAGGGATGCAGGGTGGTGGTGTTCTTTAGATTGTAAATGGCTACAGTTTAAATTATGGAACCAACAAATTTACTCCAATGACTAATCTAGTTAAAATCTATTTTTTAAAGAGTACCATCAGCAATGATCCAGTGTTCTGGGCCTCTCAAGGCCCAGATTGATTTAATGTATTACTCTGAAATACATGGTGAGCTATTCATGCAACAAAGAACAAACTTCTTATCAGACCACACACTATTGTAACATTTAGTATGGGGTTTTTTTAGGGGGGATGGGTCAGATGGGGGGCAACACAAATTGAAGCATCATTCTGGACCAGAGTTGCTGACAACTGAGGACTTGTGTTACTGAGTATGATAGAAAGGTAGATAACACTGCAGTTTGTGGTTGTCATTATACTAGCTTATTGGCTTTCACTTTCTATGGCTTCAAACATCAAAATAGGTTCACTAAATTTGACCTAGTGATACATACAGAGAAGAGTTTCTTGTAGTTTGAGGAAAAATATGGAATTTTGCTGTTGAGTTGTGAGCTTCTCCCCAGCTTCTGAATGTGGTAGTGTGAAATACACTGTTAAAGCTAAA